GGTGAGTAAGAGGCAGTCTGACTTGCTTCACATGAGTCACAGTGTGTTTACTGATCCTGACCTTGAACTCTGATCCTGACGCTTGACCCGTGACCTCTGGCCCTGACCCCCTATTCCTGATGTCTGACCCTGACCCCTGATCCTGTCCTCTGACCCCTGATCCTAACCCCTGATCCTGTCCTCTGACCCCTGATCCTAACCCCTGATCTTGTCCTCTTACCCTGTCCCCTGACGTCTGACCTCTGACCCTGATTTATGATCCTTACCAAACTCTAACCCTGCAGAGTCGACTCAGGCGCTGCAGGCCCCGACTAGAGGTGGAACTCTGACTCGAGACAAAGAGATCAAGAAATTGAATGAGGAGATCGAGCGGCTGAAGAAGAAGCTGGCAGGTCAGAGGACAAACAACCACTTTATCAGTGTCGCTGTAGTAACAGTGGTAGTTGTCATGGTAATAGTAGAGGAGTTCTAGTTGTTCCAGTTGAAACTGTTCGAGTTCAGGTGTTGAAGCTCCACCCCCTTTGCTTTTGCAGACTCTGATAGGCTGGAGCACCAGCTAGAGGAGGCGGTTACCCTCAGACAGGATTATGAGAGCTCCGCCTCCAAACTGAAGAGTGTGGAGAGACAGGTGAAGACACTGAGGCAAGAGAAGGAGGATGTCCATAAGGTAAGACACCCGGGCATGTCACACAATGAACTGCACTGCTCCTTCTCTCTCTCCTCATCCTCCACTCTTTCCTCCTCTCTCTCTCCTCTCTGAGCAGCAGCTGTCCGACTCTCTGGAGCGCCTGAGGAGTCACACGAAGGAGTTGAAGGAGGCTCACTCTCAGAGGAAGTTGGCACTGCAGGAGTTCTCAGAGCTGTCAGAGAGGATGACCGAACTCCGTGCCTCCAAACAGCGTCTGTCCCGTCAGCTCCGGGACAAAGAGGAGGAGATGGACGCCCTCCTGCACAAGATGGATGCCATGAAACAGGAGATCCGCAAGACTGAGAAGAACCGCAAGGAGGTGAGAGTCTTGAGGGGATAGGAGGGGGGAGGTGGTTGAAAGCTCTGAAGACGATGTAAGTTGACCTTGAATCGAGTTATTTAAGTCTAAATAAAGAGCTTTCAAGTCTGTCAGTCTTCTTCAGCAGGGGACGCTGTCTCTGTGAATGTATGACACTGTGAGCCGCATAATAAAAGGCTTACGTGTGTTCTGGTTTCTCAGCTGGAGGCTCAGCTGGACGACGCCAAGGCCGAGGCATCAAAGGAGCGGAAGCTGAGGGAGCACAGTGAGGTCTACTCCAAACAGCTGGAGACGGAGCTGGAGAGCCTAAAGGTTAGAGGTCACACAAACACACCTGTTCTCCTAAAGACATATTAAGTAACTCACAACCCTCACACACTAGAAGCTCATCCTGGCTCTGGTTCTGGTCTCAGTCTCAGCAGGGTCGGGGAGCAGCCACCGGGGGGGCAGAGTCTCAGCAGGAGCTGTCCCGTCTGAAGGCGGAGCTTGATAAGAAGATTTTGTTCTATGAGGAGGAGCTGCTGAGGAGAGACTCTGCCCACTCCTCAGAGATCAAGAACCTCCGCAAAGACCTGCACGAGTCTGAGGGGGCACAGCTCGCTGCCAACAAGGAGCTGCTGCAGGTCCGAGACAAGCTGGACAAGGCCAAGAGAGACAGGTGAGTCCTAAAGCAGGTGTGAAAGAGGGACAAGTGAGTCCTGAAGCAGGTGTGAAAGAGGGACAGGTGAGTACTGATCCAGGTTTGTGTTTCCTGCAGACAAACTGAGATGGATGAAGCTGTGGTGACGCTGAAGGGAAATTTTGAGCGAGAGAAACATCTGCTGACGGAAGAAAACAGGAAAATGACAGTGGAGACAGACAAGGTGACACAACTACACAATGCACCATAACACAACATCACAGTAATCACAGTACTGATACAGTGTGTGTATTGTTGTTTTTGTGGTCAGTTGTGCGCGTTCGTGGACAAACTAACTGCTCAGAATCGTCAGCTGGAGGATGAGCTTCAGGATGTGTCGTCGAAGAGAGAGAGTGTCGCTCACTGGGAGGCTCAGATTGCTGAAATCATCCAGTGGTGAGTGTGTCCATCAAACAGGAAGTGTGGCCTACCACTCGGGGAAGCTCCACTCTCAACGTGTGTACGTGTGTGTTCAGGGTGAGCGATGAGAAGGATGCTCGAGGTTACCTTCAGGCTCTGGCCACCAAGATGACGGAGGAACTGGAAACACTACGTAGCTCCAACCTGGGGACCAGGCCTCTGGTACGACACACATACACACTGTAACACACACACACACACACACACACAATAACACACACAGTAACACATGACTGTTCTTTTAAACTGCCACCTCAGCCTGAGTCAGGAGTGGCCACACCTCCTAGGAAGCCCTGGCTTCCTATTGGTGGAGACAGCAGGGTGAGTGTGTCTGTCACCACTTCCAGCGAATAAGGACTCACTCTAATTATGGACATAATTGAAAAAGCCTGCATGGCTATTGGCTTGCATGTCTGCCAATCATAATACATCAGTGTTTCCAGGGAGACTTGTGGTCCATGAAGGCGGGAGAGTCCAATGAGAATATCCAATCATCTTGAGGAATACATGGAGATGGGATCTGATTGGATGTTTTTTATTGTCATGATCCTTGTGTGAGGTTGGGGGGGGGGGGGCTTCTGAATGTATACAGGCTGAAAACACATTTTACTAACGCTCCCTGAACACCTCATCCTGCAGGACGAGTGACGGAATCTGTTTATCCAATGAGATCTTTCAAATTTCAATTCAGGGATTTAAATTTAAACCTGTATTTAAAGTGGATTTTCAGAGTTCAGTTTCAGAATCGGTTACTGTGTCTGAACATATTAGAAACACGACAGAACATTGAAGTGGATTCCGAGTCAGATTTGAAACCATAGTAATGTCTGCTCCTCCAAGTGAACTTGTGCATGTCCAAGGTGAATCCCATAGGGGTCGTCAAAGGCTCAGGTGAAGAACCATATGATGATGTCATATCCCCCAGCAGAAACACCATTCATCAGGTCACATAGGATCACATATCATGGTCACCTGACTGTTTTGGCTGCTCTGATTGGCTGTCTGCTCCATCTGTTACTGACTGTTAATGAAGGGTTGTCACCATGATAACCTGCAGCCTAGTGTGGGTCGGGCTCTGACTCACAGTCGGGGATAAACAGGACCTCTCCTCCCCCTCAGGACCCGCTGTGGAAGGTGCGTCGCAGTCAGAAGTTGGACATGTCGGCTCGTCTGGAACTTCAGTCGGCCCTAGACGCTGAGATCAGAGCCAAACAGCTGGTTTTGGATGAGCTGCGAAAAGTCAAAGCTGCCAACATCAATCTGGAGAGGTCAGAGGTCACATGCACACACACACACACACACACACA